AGTTTGTAGTTAGAGAAAGGATGAAGAAAATGGTCAGGAATGATAGAATGACACTGTTAGGACACTTTTAGCAATAAATCCAGGCTAGAAAACATGATGGCCTAAGCAAATCCAATGGAGTTGGGTGGAACAGTCAGGCTGGACAGAGGTTTGTAAGGTAGTGAATGGGACTAGGTAGAGGAAACAAGGGAAGAGAGGCAGTGTAAGGATCAGTCAGATTTTTAATCTGGTGATTGGTAGATGATCGTGTGTTTTAGGGATTAGGGAACCAGGAACAAGGGTAGATATGGGGACAATGGAACAAAATAAAAGTAGGGCAGGGTAAGGAAGGTTGGGATTGCTGAGTTGGCTATGAACAGCGTTACAGGAGGTACGAGGGTAGGGCTCTTTGTTGTCCTCACATCTCTCTTCAAGACAACTTGCTCTGAGCAATGTGAGTGGATGACAGCTTCCAGCTGCTGTCCCTGTGGACCGGCTATAGCCTCATCCCAACGCTGTGCTCTCCCAGCAGCAATCAGCTGTGGACTGAGCATGCTGAGGGGATGTTATGGATTATATCTGGATGTCCCCCCAAAGCCTCATGCAGTCATAGGGTGGGCTTCTAGAGTTAATGATTGGTTTATGGGTGTGAGTGCTACACCTGCCCTAGGGTGGGTTGTTGCATACAGTGTAAGAGAGGGAAAGAAACTGCTTGCCGCCACTCCTCCCCTTGTGCTCTTGCTGCTTTTGCTGTCTTCCGTAACAGCTGTGAACTGTTGTCCCCTACCACGTGCCACTCTGCCTGGGAACCAGCCCAGTATGGACTGAAACCTCCACAAACTGTGAGCTAAAGAAACCCTTCCTTCATTACTTTTGGGTGTCAGATATTTTGTCTCAGAAACGAGAGAAAAGTAACCAAGACAGGGGACTAAGATCAGAACAGTTTTGCCCAGCACAAGATACCTCTAAGTGGGAATTCTTTCTCTAGACTTCTTTTTGCACTGATTTTCTTGATTGATTTCATGAATAGGACAGAAAAGCTGGCACTTAAGAGAAAGAGAATAAACCAATTATTATATAAGAAAATGCTGATGAAAGCACCCTGCCCTTGGCAGTAATGAAAGTTTATTGCATGGCATTCTATCCAAATATTTCCTTTTGACCCAATAAATAAAAGGCACCTAATCAATCACTAAACTAAACGTCTTTTTGCAGTGCTTATGTCATGATTATTAATAGAAAGGAATTATTTTCCATTGATTCTTTCCTCAAATCTGCTTCCATGATTACTGAGAAAAAAATACTGTAAATAAAAATATAAGACATTTAGATTTTAGCATATTGTATTTGTGTCTAATTTTTCCAGAGTGTCCATTGTTATGAGTTTGGTGGATACATAGCTGCCATACCAGAAACAGTTGCTGCAGTCTCTGCTCCAGCTGGTTGTAATTTGGTGGCTCACAAAAGAGCAGATGTGATGTATGCAGCTTCTTCATCTCATCTCTAAACATCCCACCTGACTCTTTCATTTTCCTGCAAGCTAAAATGTGGATGCAGTAACAGTAAAACCAAATTAACCATACAGATGAGGAGAGTCGCTAAGACTACTGGAAAGAAATAAAAAGAATGCCAGCCCTGCTTGTGTCCATGAACTAGAAACATCTACCTGTTTTGAACTTCCTGTCTTCCTCTGAGTTGTTCCACGAGAGAAAAAGAAACTCTTTGTATTTTGAGCAATTGATCTGGACCAGATCTGGAAAGACAATCCCAGCCATCCTGAGGCAGGTCTATCCCCAGTGCTTCTGTCAGTGGCATTAACAACAGTGGGACCCCATTTCTGGGGCAGCCATATGTGGCAGTAATCTGCAACCTCAGAGGAGCAGTTCCAGGTTCCACCTCTACTAAGAAGAGTCAGGAGCAACTCTTTGGATCCAGTAGAGCAGTATTCTCCCTTGTTTTAGCCCTGAGAATTGGAGGAAATGCAGAAATGCAGATAGCTGAGCATGATGGCAAGACTGCACCATGGTGGAAGGTGATGAGGACTGCATTCAGGAGCAAACATAGTTCACATGGGAGCCTTCAGAAATCACTGCCTCACCCTGGAGTGGGGAACGACTTCAAGGAATGAGTGGCAGCTTGTCCTCTTGGATACACATATTTTATATGTATGTGCATGTGTGCATGTATGTTTTGTATTTTATTGCCTACTGAGTAAACTTCTTATATTAAGATTGAGGTTCAAGACATGTTTATAGGTTGAGATTTATGTCACTGGGCACAATGAAGAGTTCAATATTCTGATAAATACTATCATAAGGAAAAGCTATAGAAATTAATTCAGTATAATACTTCTGTCAAGATAAACAAAAATATTAAAGAAAAACATTAGCATTACAGAAATAAATATGCACACATAAAATCAATTGATTTTTGACAAGTATAAACAGACTTTTCTTGTCTTTCTAACAAGTGGTGCTGGAACAATTGAATAGCTATATAAAAAAATGATATCATATACAAATTAACTAAAAGTGGACTAGATCTACATTAAAACCCTAAAATTTAGCCATTAAAATCAAGGTTTTCCCCTATTTTGTTCTGCACACTTTACAGTTCCAAGAGGAATAAAAACATATGTTTATATAAAAACTCATACCCAAATGTGCATAAATACTTTATGTTTGATAACCATACACTAAAATTATCCCTAATGTTAGTGAGCAGAATTGATAAACAGTGTTAAATCTGCACAATAGCATACACAGAAATGCAAAAAAATTAATTACTAGTATAAGCAACAAATGGATAATCTTGAATTAATTATGTTGAATGAAAGAAGCCAGACAAAAAGGAGACTCTACTACATGATTACATTTACATAAATTTCAAAACATGCAAACTGATCTACAGGGACAGGAAGAGCCATAGTTGCATGGAGATGGGAAGGGAGAGGGAGTGGAGGGAGGCATTCCGGAGGGGCCGGGAGTAATGTTGAGGATGGTGGACACTGCAGTACCTTGACTATGGTAGTGGACTTACAGATAGGTACACATACACGTATATTCAAGATGTATCTTACACATTTTAAATATGTAAAGTTTACTGCATTTCAGTATTTCTCAATAAAGCCATCAACATCTTTTCATGGTATTTATTTTTTCCTATTGCTGATGTTTTTGTGATAGGTAAGATTTCCAAACCCAGAATCTAAGCTCTTGTTCACTTTGTTTTCTAGCCCTTCAATAAGGTAGTCTGGGTTGGGCTTTTTTTTAACCTATGGGTTATTATGGTTTAGATTGACAGTGTCCAAAAGTTTCATCTATTCAGAGGTGGGGCACTGGGGAGGTGATTTGATCGTGGAGATGGTACAGTTACAGTCATCTGTGGATTCCACTGATGAGTTCATGGGCAAATGTACTGTCAGAAAGTGGGATCTGGTTGGAGTGGGTCACTAGGGACATGACAGGATGTATTTTTGTTCCCATCTCTCTCCTCTCTCTACTTCCTGGATGTTATGAGTTGAGCTGCTTTCCTCTGCCCAGCCCTTCCTGCTTTGGAGCCAGCCAACCAGGAACTGACCCCACTGGACACTATGAGTTAAATAAACTTCTCCTCCTTTAAACTGTGGGTATTTTGTCTCAGTGACAGAAAAGTAACCAGTGCATAGCTCCTAATTTTTCTTTTTAACTTAATTCCTAGCTTATGTGAGTCTTTTTTTCCATTTCTATTTATCATGTTCACTATCAGTAAAGAAAAATCTATTTAATTTAAGATATATTTATATGAATTACTAATCAAATGATCAAATTCTCTTTTTATTTTATTAATTTAAAATTGAATGTGGAGGCTTTTATAGATGTATAGCCTCATCATCATTGCAGTTTTTCTTTTTTTTTTTTTGTCTTTTTGAGACAGGGTCTCCTCGCTATGCCATTCAGGCTGACCTTGGACTCACTTTGTAGCCCACGTTGGTCTTAAACTCACAATGATCCTCCTGCCTCAGCCTCACGAGTGCTGGGATTACAGGTGTGCACCACCATGCCCGGCCGGTTTTTCTATTCTAGTGTTGTTACAAATAATTTTATTTAACTTTTTATTGTACTCACTGGAATTTCCACAATAATTTTGATTAATAGACATGATGGTGAATGTTAGGAAAATGTAAAAGAAGCAGAGGCATGACCTCAACAGACCAGGTTTGTTTCAGAACAAACCTGAGAGGGACCACTCTGGCACTAGAAACCAGACCAGCTAACTCCTATGTGCTATAAGGTCTTTACAGGGTCATGATCATAAAGGTGGGGTGTAGAAGGAAAAAGTCACAGTGGGACTTTTGAGAAGGAGAGTTCAGTATAAGGGTGTGTGGCTATCTGCCAGGGGCAGGGCTTGAGAACATACAAGGAGCTGTGTCTTGCTTGTGAAGAGCAGGGCTCAACAATGATTGGGAATTATAGGGTATAGCTGTGCTTACTGGGCCTTATTGACCCATGATGATATACCTGCAGCAAGTATAAAAGCATAACAAGGGCAAAGATTGAAGCTGGTCTCTTGTCAGGCCAGGCTGGCGATGGGTGGGTTCCTTCAGTGAAACTTTCTGACTGTGCTCTTAAAGAACATGGCTTTGGCATAGGTATTAGAATGCTATTTTAGGTAAATGTGGTATGATGATTAATTGCATGTATCAGTTTGACTAAGTTTTCTGGGATTGAGTGCATGGGTGTTTCTGGAAGAGAATTGCATTTGAAGTGGTGAACTAAGGGAAGCAGGTGGCCCTGTGCAGTATGGGCAGACGTCATCTAATCCATGCAGAGGAGGAAAGTGAAATTTACTCTCTGCCTGACTGCTTGAGCTGGAACAGTGGTCTCCTGCCATTGGTGCTCTTGGTAATAAACTTGCAAGTACAGATGCACCTCCTCTGGCTAACTTCCCTGAGGACTGAGGCTAGAAGCCTAAAATGACATTTTCTAGAATTTCTTGTATTGAGGCTTTTTTATTACATGATAGTTTTCTGTATTTTTCAGATTTTCTCCAAAGCACTTGTAGTTCACTTGCCCATGTACGCATGCTGGTAAGTGGCCAAACCAAACGGATGCAGCCATACCTGTGGAACTCTGAACCCCCAAGCTATCACTCTTCCAAGAACAGTGTTTCTCACTGGATTTACCACCATTCTGTAAGTGAATTATTTAATTTCTAAATTCTGTTTCTATTATCTCCTTTACCTCGAAGCTTTAGTAAACATGACATCCCAGCACATGTGCTGGAACTTGTCTCTTGTGATCTAAATATGTGTCCTTTGGCTTTGCTGCTTTGGGCTCTATTCACTTGTAACAAATGCTACACATTGCTTAACATGATCTTTTTCTGTTTGTAGCTACTGAGTTATGAAACAAGCTATTTATTTGTTGAGCTGGCAACTTAAATATTTGGAAAGCTGATCTTGCCTCTCTTCTCTTGCACTTTAGATGAGCCTCCCCTAGGTGTTAAATGGGCTGTGTAAGAGTGGTTCTCAGCTTAATGTCACTGGGATTTCATAAGATAATCAAATGTTAGAGCTGAAAGTTGCCTTAAGGATCATTCTAGTGCAACACTTTCAATTCTCAGATAGGCAAACTGAGGTTCAGAGTCAATCTCACAGCTACATGGATTTTGGGACAAGAACCTAGATCTCTTGACTGTCATTCCAGTAGCTTTTCTGTGTTTCCACATTCTCTCCATGTTTTCTTTATTTTCATTTAAAGCCTCTTTTAAGAGTTAGACAACTTTAAATTGTAATTGCATTTCAAGAGGATAATTTGAAGTCAATTTTAAATAACAGAATAAGCTCCACAATACATATATATATATATATACTTTAAAATGTATTTGTGCACATGAGCCCATGCCCCCCACCCCAAAACAGAGAAGTGAGGGGAGGGGAGAGGAGAGGAGAAGCCCATGGCTTATATTAACTCAACACTGAAAGGAAAGGAAAAAGGAGAAGGAGATGAGGTGGGGTGGGGAAGAGAAGGGACATGAAGAAAATTTTCCATTTGTAGATGACTTTAACCCAACACGGCAAGTCCTTTCTTGCCAGGGAATCTGGCTCTCGGCTCCTGCCTTTCTAGCTGCCATGACTTCTTTCTGTAGCTTGGATCCACTGCTCCAAGTAACTCAAGGGAAGTTGCAAACCTGCTTTTGGAGCAGGATGACTTATCTATAAAAGCAGCTCCTCAGCCTCCAGATTTTAGCTTTAAGATGTAATCTTTACATAAAGCAGGCATAAAGTGCCTCTGAGTGGGGAGTAGAATTTGGAACACCAAACTGCTGTCAGATGGGATCGTTTTACCATTTTCGCTGTCAGAGAGGTGAGACAGCCTCCTTCTTCTTACTGCTTAAGTTGAGAGCCATCTTCCTATTTAAAGCTGTTATTGATACTTTTTGCTCTATCATTCTCACCACACGTTCCAACCACTTATTACTCCACTAGACTGACCATATTGCTTACAGTGACACAGCATATTTGAAACAGAAAAGTAAGTAGAAGAAGTTCTTGTTTTATCAGAGATATTATCACTGTCTTATTAAATTTTTGGTGCAGTAAGTCTTGGCTATTCTCATTCTTAACATTAAGGATATTAACTTCTACAGTGTTATATTCTATCCACAATCACCGGCTAATCTCTCACATTTTTTCATCTATCTTCTCTAATTTCCAGTTGCCTCACCTCCTTTGCTTATTTCTTACCTGTCTCTATCAGCCTTAAAAAATCAACTCCCTACTTTCATGCATATAGTTCTTACAAAATGCCGAAAAGCATTACCACTATCACAGACTTGCTACAAATCTTACATCCTGAATCCCATGATTAAAAAATATTTGGAGCTTCTCCTGCCTTTAAAATTCTTGTTTCTTCTCTTAGCCTAAACAGATAGACCCTGAAGTATATATCCATGTATAAATGTAAGACTTGTTATTTCTATAGCTGGGATGTCTTCTTGATATAATAAAGTATAAAGGCTAAAGGTTTTGCAGCTTCTTCGTAAATCACATTGTTTCCACCAAAATTTGTCTTAAATAAGTTATTTCTAGCTTTATGTTTAGGCAGAACCTATTGACTTGAACTCTAGGCATCTTACTAAGAATACCGCACCAGTATTCCACCTTCAACACTAGGAAATCAAGCACAACTAGGATTTAAGTATGGGGAAAACCTCTGTGCTGCTGTGCCCTGTTACAAATCTTTTCTTTGACAGAATTTTTCAAATTCTTTAGTGTTAGTAGTAGAGTTAGAAAAATTAACGAAGTTCAGCTCATTAGGAGTTCACATGCAACGTTAATGCAAATAAGTCATTTAACTGAAGGTACTTTATAAACCGAGAATGTCTTGTGCTTTCAAATTGACTTCAGAGAAGTCCACGTTCCTATATTTTTCACAGACAACTGGAAATTCTCATTAATTACAAAGATTTGAATCCAATAGTGAAGTGAGTTTCTGGCAGGTTTATATGTAACACTGATATCACCTGAGTTCAGGGGATGACAAATAGTGATATGATGATACTGCATAAGAATTTTAATCCTTTTTATAATGAACAACGAATGACAGCTATGTTAAAATGAAAGACTAGGAATCTGGCTCTGAATAAAAAATAAATAAATAAATACTCTCAAAATACCTATTATCATGTAAAAGGAATATTGAATTCATAAAAATTAAATTATATATTGCAAGAATATAAGATCCTACAATATAGAGTCATTTCTGAAATAAGTTTTTAAAGGACATAATAGATACTTCTGTATTAGGTGCATGTTTTATAAATCCTAGTCCTTTGATGACCAGTTTGTTTATATATTGGAATGTCAGAAGAAACACCTAATTTGGGGTCCTGTACTAAATTTTAAAAATTCCATTTCTTTTTATTTAACACAATATTTGCAGTGTTCCCCACTGGAGTATTTTGTGCTGCAGAGGGGAAACTCATTTCCTTCAGTTGTGGAAAGGAGAAATCAATTATGAAAATAGTTTCAGAAACAGATTTCAAATGCAAATAATCACTTTTAAAATGTTATTATTAAAAGGAGAAATTAAATATGTTGTCTAACCTAACGAGAAGCAAAAGGTTCTTAGAGAAATCTGGAAACCTGAGTTGATACTCTTTACTGATGAAGGAGAAAAGGATATTCTTAGAAGAGAAGGTACCTGATCATAAACATTAGAAGACCTGCAGCTCTTTAATATACGTTTGTCATGGGCTGACGAGGTCCCTGCAAAGGGTAAAGTTGTAATAATGAATGGCATTTTATGTTCCACTAAGGTGTTAGTTAATTCACCATGGTGAAAGGGCACATCAAGGAGGTTCAACTCAAGAAAACAGTATGATTTTATTTTCTGTTTTTGTACTATCAGCTTTAGGATCAATATGGAAGATGGAATAGAAGGTTGAAGGAGGTGGAAAAAAACAATTTTAAAAATGCTGTATTACTCTGCTTTCTGTTGGTCTAACAAAATACCTGAAGCTGGGTACTTCATGAAGAAGAGAGGTTTATTTAGTTTTAGTTGTACAGACTGAAAGTCCAAGATAGGGTGGGCTTATTAGTTTGGCTTTTGGTGAGTATATCATGGTGCTAACCATACTAAGAGCAAGTACAGAAGAGATCATATGGCAAGACAGGGAACCAGGGAGACATTCAGCAGCAGTTTCACTCTTCTTATAGTAATCTACTCTTATGGAAATTAACTAGAGTCCTGAGAAGACCCTGCTAATCCTTTCAAAGGTGACACTCCAGTGATTCAGTGACCTTCCAGGAGGCATTACCTCCTCAAGTTTCCACTGTGTGTCAGCGCTGTCATGCTGAGAAATAAGCAACCTGCACATGAGCCTTGGGGGACATCTTTAAACCTTAACCCAAACCTCAGGTATGGAAAAGACAGAGCAAGGAACAAAGGCAATAGAGACAGGATAAATGTGGGATAGGATAGAATAAATAAATGTGGGAGAGGATGGTGACAGTACAGACAAAAGTGTCTGTGATGTTCTGGCCTGAGTTACTCTTGAGTGGAGACAAGAATACCAAGAAAGGAGACTAACACAGAAGGGTTTTTGGGAAAACATTTATTTCATTTTCAGTTTGTTTTTCTTAATATATCTAGGACACAGAGTTTTGGAGCTCAGGAGAGATGAGCATCTTATTTACTTTCTCCTTGCTGCGACGAAATACCTGACATCCACAAAGCAAAGAAGGAAACATTTACCTTAGTTCACAGTTTGTAGAGGTTTCATTCCATAGTCAGCCAGCTCCAAGGCAAGGTGGCATGGCAGAGGGAAATTGTGGAAGAGCACGGCAAAGGGGCGTGGCAGAAGAGAAACAGTTCATAGCACAGCAGGCAGGAAACAAAGCCTTCCTCCTCCTTTCCCTTTTTATTCCATCCGGGCTACAAGCCTATTAGTTGGTGCCACTGGCACCCAGGGTGAGTCTTCCCTTTTCAGTAAATCCATCATCCACACACCAAACTGTGCTGCAACCATCAGTGGGCTAATCCAGCATCACACATCCATGATCCAGTCACCTCCCAAAGGCCCCACTTATCAGTGCATGAGGTTTGCGGGACATCTAGGTGTAAACCATAACAGTGAGGTAAAGTTCTGAGGTTCAACAGTGAAGTTCTAATGTTGAGGGTAGATATGATGGATGACAGAGACTGCTATACAGAACTGGGATAGTGATCCAAAGGCAAAACTTTTGGAAACATTAATATTTGGGCAGGGGAGGGAGAGGGAGAGGAAATATGAATCATAGACAGGCATTGTGTCTTTATATTTCCGACAACTGAACATGTTATGAATATATTACTCAATACTGCCTGAGGATATTGGGAGCTTTTCATTCTAAACTTTTATTCATACCTTTAGTCTTTTAGAAAGGGTTTATTTTAAAATCCTATTTACTTTTCAATATTTAACTGGAATATCAGGGATTCTTGATCATTACCACCATGATGTCTCTTTGTTCTATTTTTCCAATAGCCCCAAGTCTCATGAATCTGAATCCAGCTGTATTATAAGGTGATCTTTCTTCCATATTCTGGTCTTAGGGCCTCTTACACACTTAAAAAATATTGAGGATCCCAAACAACTGTTCCTATATGAGTTATAGTTATTAATATTACTGAATATGAAATTAAAACATATATTATTTTTACAGTTCATGAGCATGGTAATCACTCAAGGATGGGAGATTATTTGGAGAACATGTCAAGTGGAACCTCTAAGGAAGTCCAGAGGGACACAGTCAAGAAGTCTGTAAGTACGGTACTAAGAAACTGTCAAGTTCACAGTAGTGAGTAGAATTTTTCCAAATTATCTTTTTTACTTAAAAGCTTGGAGTATTATTATTGGCAACATACTCTGTCAGTTATTTTCTTTGACATAAGATTACTTCATTAATTTTTGAAATTATACCATACCACTCTACTCTGCATATGAATCTTTTACATACACACTTCATACCTCTAGAAGTAAGAGGAAGTAGTTGGTTTAATACCTATTTGTATTTTCCTTCCAGTTCATGACTAAGCTTTTGGGCTTAGTGGGCCTTCAATGAATGTGTGTAGGTCTGAAAATTTATCTCCAGTGTGAATTTTAATTGCTTTAAGGATTTTGTGGGTTGAGTCACAGTCCCAAATGTTGAAATCTTGAAAGATGAAAATTCCTAATGTCTAAAATCCCCCAAAATTCTAGAAAAAAGTAATTTGAAAAACTCATTAAAAGATTCTTATGTAGGGCTGGGGATACAGCTCAGTGGCACAGCACCTGCCTGGCAAGCAAAAGGTCTTCAGTTCGATTCCTAGCACAAAAAAAAAAAAATACTTGTTTAAATTTTAAAATGGATTTGAGAAATATATAAAAGACAACAGAATATTTCATAGGCCACTCTAAATAAGAAGATAGGAAATATATGCATTTTAAAAGCATAAACCCTTAAATGTGCTAATCACAGTTGCATAGACCTAACAATTATGAGCAAATCAACTGTATTCTTAAAGAAATAGGCCAAGAAGCAAAATGTACATATTACCATGGCTGGTAATTGTGTGTATCCAGCTTTATAACTATGGTCATCTGAAATATCATGATAGGCAACCTAAGTTTCTGATAAGATTAGTCAAGAACCACAGCAGGTCACATGTGTAATTTCCCCAAAAGCCAAGATCTCAAGAAATTATATCTTTCACAAATGCAGATGTACAAAAAGAACATCTCTTGATATACTGAGAAAGCTGCAGTGTTTTTACATACATGCCCAATGCTTATACAAAAAGTCAGTGTTGTGATATACACCTTCATGAAGTCAGATTTGAAAAAAAAAGCATAAAATGAACGAGAACTCTCAAAAAGTCTTTACACATTTTATATTTTCAGTATTGGAAATGATGCAAACATAAAATATATGGCATAGAAAACTGTAAAAAATAGTGTTGTCATCTTAAAATATTGAAAAGAAAAAACTAAAAAAAAACAAAAAAGAAGAAAATCTGACATGAAAAAATCATATTACAGTATAGGTATAAAATTTCAGAGAGTCCACATAATTTCTCTTATACAGAAAACTTAGAATATAAATAAAGAGCAAAATGAAAGACAGATTACAGCCTAGGGAGGAAGATCTTTTGCAAATAGAAAGGGGCTATAAAAAGAAAGGACAGGCAGAGAGGGGAGGGGAAAGGGGTGAGAAGAGAATTAAGATGTGTTATGTGTATGTAATGAGTCCTCACAAGGAATGTAATCATTATGTACTACAAGCATGTACTAATAAAATATAAATTAGAAAAGCAAAACAGTAAAATGAACCATTGATAAGTGAGGATGAAAAGCTTTGAAAATTTAGAGGTATCATATAGAATCTAAAAGAAAAAGTAATATAGATAACCAGTGTTCAAAATCTTAGCAGCTAGTCAATAAAAACAATAAAGTTGGAAAAAAAGAAATGCGCTGGCTTGAAGGATCATTAACTGTATTCTGAAGTCTTGCAACACTAGGGACAATTCTTTCTCCTTCTCCCCTTCCCACTTCTCCTCCTCCTCCCTTCTTTCTTCTTTTTTGTTTCTTGTTTCTGTTTTGTTTTGTCTTTGTCTTTCTTTTAGGGCACGTCTGTCCTTGAATTTACATCATTTCCACATTCATTGTCTATGGGGTAGCTCATCCTCCACTGAATCTGCTCAGATCCACACTCCTCCTCCCCCTCCTCCTTCTCCTCCCCCTCCCTCCTTCTCCTCCCCCTCCCCCTCCTCCAGAAACACCCGCATAGACACACCCAAATAGCTCTGTACCAGGCTCCTTGCTATTTGTTTTGCTTAGCATGCTGTAACTCTACTGCCAATACCTGTTTTAGTCACTTTTATGGTCACTGAGACATAACACCCAAGATACCCACAATTTAAAGAAGTTTATTTTGGTTCACAGTTTGCTGTGTTTTCAGTCCACAGTTATTTGGCTTCAGAGCAAAGCAGTGTGGTGGAAAGGCCTGGGAGTGGGAAAGCTGCTCCCCTCAAGGTATTCTGGAAGCAGACAGCATGAAGGGAGGAGTTGAACAGGGGGAGAAAGTAGCTATAACACCTCCCTCCCCCCCCATCTGATCACCTTCCAAAGTCCCTCCTATGATCCCATCATGCTTTCCATAACAACATCTAAAAGCACAATCCCTTTTCCATAATTTGGCTTTTGATTTCTTTGTCTAGGCTTTTTTTTTCTGTTTTGATGGTACCATGGATTGAATCTAGGATCTTAGTGTTTTCAAATATGATCTTTGGGATTACAGATTTCAAGTATCTTCATCTTTAGAGAAGTCAACATTTGGGATTATGGTAGTTATGATTGTGTCTTTCAAGATTATGGTCAACACTGTGGCTTCATTATGTCCCAGTTTGCAAGACAATCTCCATTTATGTCTACTCACTTAGTATACCGTCCACTTTACAATTTTTTTTCTGATTGGAACAAGTAGTATTAATCATTTCCTTAAAATGTCTGGGTCAGTTTTATGTGCCTGAGCTATGTACTTCCTGTTTCTGCTCAAGTCTCAGAAGTTGAGACAGATGCTCAGAAAATAGAATCCTGACCTTAACCTCACCATTACCTGTGAGGCCCACTTGGTTTTCCAGTGAGTTGTGCCATGGCTTGAACTGCAGGTTTCAGGATGTACAGTTGCCAGGATGCCGATCTGAAGTTGCTGGGAAATGTGGGAATTGTGGGAGTTTAGGAGACTATGCAATATGTGGAGGAAGCAGAGGCTGGTTACTCCTAATGCAGTGTGTACAGAGCGGTCTGATTGCACTCACCAAAATTGTTCAGTGAATGGTTAAGTAATGAGTTTCTGATTCTTAATGATGAAGCTGTCAGTTGGAAAAATGGTAAAGCTTCCCATCCAACGATGGACCATAATTGCTAGCCATGTGAAATCCAAAGCGTCTGCTTCAAAAATTCATCTTATTTTAAAATGATTATGCCCAGAGATGGTGATTTAATGTGCACAGCTGCAGAAAATGTCTTTACATGTTACTTTGTAAAGCATAACTTTTTACTTGGATCAAATGATTTTACTTCTAAATTTTGCTCATTTTAGCTTCCAACTTTTCTTGTGATCATATAAAAAATGAAGTAGTGGCTATTATTTTATTAGATATATTAACAGAATAACTTCACAAATATTTAAATGTGAGAATGCAATATCAACAAATCACGAATACAAATTTACAAATAGATAACCAATGAAGTAAACTGGTTCAATATTTTCCCATACAAATCACAGAAGCAAAGTGTAGTGGTTGATTGATTATGTCAACTTGAGAAGTTTAGAAGCATAACTAAACTTGGCTCAGCAATTGGCTCAGCAATTCTACACCCTAGGGTGTAGAGGAGCCACCCTAGGCTGGATCATCACCTAGATAATATAAAAGGGAAATGAAGAAGGACAGAGGTACTTCCATTCCTTTTGGAGGAGCTCCAGTCTTCATCTTCAGCTTGGGCTTAGTCTCCTGGCTTCTAGTGCAGACTCTTCAGCTTCCACCTTGGATCCTTCAGCCTTCTGTCACAGACTCATCGGCCTCATGGTACGAACTTGCACGGAACTCTGCAGTGAACTCCAGACCCTGGACTGATTCCTTTGCTCTTCAGTGTGCAGACACCCTCTGCATGCTTCCTCATACAACTCTCTGGCTGACCGTCCTAAGCCAGTCTTGTAATTTCTTATACATTTGTACATCTTGTGTTATATCTGTTTCTCCAGTAAAACCCTGACTAATACACAAAGTAAAACTATTTAAAGTTCATTCTGTCCAAATGAAACATGTTAAAGCCACTATTGTTAAAACCATTATTGATTTTTTATTTAGAAGTTCAATACTGAAGATAAAATTAATCACTTTATACAGTAATAAAGCGAGTAAAAATTTTGGGAGCACCTTGTCCTTGTACAAACAATATTCCACTAAACTAGAAAATGCATAGAACAGTGTATATCTGTTGTTTGTAATATATGAATTACATTCAAATTCTAATTGCACCCTAAAAGAGTTATCATAATCTAACAACTGAAAAGGAAGCAATAATTGTCAAATTTTATAAATACTTTGTATATTCACACAGAATAACTGACACACATTTTTTTTCACGCATGGTGTTGACATTAAAAAAACTCAGTTTCATCACAGATGTAGGTACTTTCTCTGCTATTCATTATTAACAAATTTAGAAGTGCTGGAGCCCATAATTTCTTTGTAAATGGAGCTAAATGTCATACAGTAATGTTAAACTTATTTGCAAGACTTCACAATTTCTTAGAAACAGTAAATCAAAACAGTCAGTAAACAGAGGGACCCAAACTTTAGCACTTGCGAACAGGTGGATATCCCAATTTATTTTTACTAATTCAAAAAAAAGAACTGAGCCTATTGAATGAAGATAGTTCAAACAATGTACAAGCTTGACTCTTGAATTTGATGATAGATTTTGAATGAATTTATAAGAAGAACCTTTTGAGGAATATTCTGGTTTTAGTGGGAAAAATATTGTGTCAATACACGATAAATTTAAAATAATTTAAATTTAGTAAAACAGTCAAACGAATCATATAGACAATTTGCTTGATAAATATGGTCTGATAAAAATATTTCTTCAATAAATATACCCAATACAGGCAAAAGGACAGTACTTGTGAAAATATTTCGGCTGAAATAGTATATTTCAATGCACAGCAATCATTATTGAGAATATTCTCAATTTGGTATTCTTTTGTTTGAACAGAT